ATCCAAGCTTTCTTGCAGTAAACACAATACTTTGACCCATTAGAACTTGCAAACAAAAAGAAGTTGATCCATCTTATTTTAACCACAAACAAACAAATAAGTAAGTAAAAAAATACAATTGGACTGAACAGTATGTTAAGGGTCTTGGCTAATTGACTCCCAAAAATTGGAGAGTCAACTCCCAAACCCCCAAACCCCCAGAATTTCCACCAAAATCCGCAAGAAATGGGAGTTGATCCCCTAAACCCATCAGCAGGTTTGGGAGTCAAAACCCCTAGAAATTTAATCAAAAAAAAGCCAACCCCCAAAGCAGTTGGGGGTCGATGCCCCAAAGCCCACTGGGTTTTGGGGGTCGCTAACTGAAAAGAGCCCGCGACAGCCGGGAGGATTCCTCCCGGCCGCTGATGGCACACCCTCAGTGGCCGAGAGAAACACTCTCAGCCGTTGAGAGTGTACATCCTCGGCGCCCAAGAGAAACACTATTGGCTGTTGAGAGTGTACACCCTCAACAGCCAAGAGAAACACTCTTGGCCATTGAGAGTGTACACTCTCAGCGGTACACCCTCAATGGCCAGGAACAAGGGCCTTGTCAAAATCTGATCCGCCGTAGAGGGAGGTGAATAGGGTCATCAATCAGATGCCACAGCATCACAGGCGGTTTAACTGACTTGTTTACCGTCAGGGCATCCAAACATGATGAGGCCTTTCAGAGCAACTCAATTCACGTCTTGTTCACTTTGGGGTATATGGCCGCGTGAAAATTGTGCCACACCTTCAAGCTGATGAGGTATCTTTTTTGTGATTTGGAAGAGATTTTGTTTTGATGTTTTGTGTGGTTGTTTCTTCTGGTCCACATGCAAAACCCTTCAAGGTTTGCCGCCAATAAGGGAAGGGAGAAGGTTTTTCCATCAATTTCCAAATGGTAGCCCAAGTATTTTTTCCCTGCGCTATTATATCCAACCAGCGTGCTCCATTGCCAGGCTGAGATGATGTGTAATGAGGCCGTGTTTGGTGGTGTTGCTATTAGTCCATTACAGAGAAATTGTCTGATTTTATTAAATTCTGGTGGTGTCAAAGAGAAATTAATCATGTTCCGCGTTGCCATGGGAGTTGCTTTGTCAAGTAAAAAAACAACAAAAAGAGGAAAGATGTAATGATATTTGTTATCTTTAGAGATTCTTTAGTTTTCTGGCCGATTTCAATTTGATCTTGGTAGAGGAGTATGGATTGATCATGCACAGTTCTTTACTTGACGTCATTTTGTGATTTGCTATGACACAATCATGATCAGCAGTGCTTTTCTCTTTATTTGATTGTACTTATACTTTGTTCTATTTTGTTTGTTTTGACTTTCCTTCTTCCTCAGTGTGATATTTCTGCTCTTTGTTTGTCTTTAAAAAAATTACTCAAAATTATATTATACTACAAATTAAAATATAAAAACTATTACAAATAAAACATCTATTAAAGTTTTCATATTGTTTGAAAAGAAGACTTCTGTTCATCCTTTATCTCTTAGCTTAGACAAGTTTACCTCTTGGTTAAACTTCATAGTCACTAGCAACGGTGGGCCAGTTACGCTAACCGTAGTGTTAGTGTAGCGTAGTGTTAGCTTTTTAAGCTACGCTACAAAAAAGTTACTGTTAGCGAAAATTTTGGGCCACTAACACTACAGGATTTCTAAAAAAATCAAAAAAAACTTTAGCGTAGCGTTAGCTGACTGAAAAAAATCCAAACTAACACTAACCAAATCCCTTGTTAGTGGAATTGTAGCGTGGTTAGTGGGCTAAAAAGTTACACTAACTGTTAGTGTAACTTTTTGATAAGTTACACTAACTGTTAGCGTAGTGATCCCCTCAGTTACACTAACTGTTAGCGTAACTGATCAAAAAGTTACACTAACTGTTAGCGTAACTGAAAACTGAGTCATAATAATGTGTAGGGGGCTCAGATGTGATGGGAAATGGTCATCAAAAAATGATTTTCAGGTAATTACTTGGGAAAAAAGCAAGAAAAAAACCAAGCATTTATTCTGGAGCAGGACAAATCATCAACTAAAAATCAAGATTTTTTTTTTTGGTTTTTTTTTTGGTTAGGTATGTTTAGGAATAAATAATAAAAAGAAAAACTAACTGGAAGAATTTTTTTTCTGGCTAAGCATGATCAAGCATTAGTGATAAAAAGAGATAGTAAAAGGCGTAAAAAAACACAGATGGAAAATATTCTACTGTTTCTTTTCGAAAAAATCCATGTAAGATCTAACAACTGTTTGTGCTTTTGCATAATCACCAGAAACTTGAATACCTTCTTTCAACCACATATGACTACTAACACACCTTTCAATTGTTCGTGGTTTTAATGATCCACGTCCAGTTGAACAAACATCAGCAGCTGAGGAAAAAGTACGCTCAACTGCACATGAGGATGCAGAAGATGCCAAGTAGTCCTTGGCTAGGGGGTTGATAAGCGCACGCCAACCCCCATGGCGCACGCCAATCCGCACGCCAGGTGCGGATTGGCGTGCGCGCCTGCACGCCAACAAAAATTGGCGTGCGGGTCCGCACGCCAATGACCTGCAGGGTATATCCCTGCGGGTTGGCGTGCAGGCCCTGCAGCATTGGCGTGCGGCCTCGCACGCCAAAGTTGTTTGGCGTGGGACGCTGCACGCCAATGCTGCAGGGGCCTAAACGCATATACATATGCGTTTAGGCCCCAGGCCAACCCATACGACCCAACCCTGGGTCGTATGGGTTGGCCACTGTCATTGGTCCAAGGTTTTAAACCTTGGACAATGACCGATCAAGGTTTTAACCTTGATCGGCCATTGTTCAAGGTTTAAAACCTTGACGTGCGACCTTGAACATCCGTGTAGGACCCAGGCCTGGGTCCTACACGAGTGAATGCGACCGGGGGCGGGGTTCCGGTCCAGCCCCGCGCCCGGGGTTCGATCCTCAGCTCGGCTGGTCGCCTCCGAGCCCCTCCCTCCCTTTCTTACCCTCAACCACCATCTCACCCAGTGGACCAGCCGACCGACCACCCGACCGACCAACCACCGGCCCCCGAGCCCCATCGAGCCCCGGACAAACACCCTGTGAGCACACAGGAACCCCCGACGACCCCACCAAGACACCAGACCCCCGCGCACGCCCTTATTCCACCCGATCCGGTCCGATCCGGTCCGATCCGATCCGATCCGGCGCCGAAAAATAGCCACCTGGGTTCAAATTTTGTAAGGATTAATTATTTTTGGGTCTCCATCCTTCTAAGGGGGCCCAATTTTTTTTTGTGGGTCTCTCTTGTTGAAAAGGCCCCCCCTTGGCCGTCATGAAGTTACTTGGTGGCTTCATGGCCCCTAAAGGGGCCTATTTTTTTCTCTTTTTGGGCCTCTCTTGGCCAAAAGCCCCACAAGGGGCCAAATTCAGCCCCTTGACCAACAAGCCTTTTTTGTGGCGTCTCTGTCCCCCATAAAGGGGCCAATTTTTTTTTCGGGGGGGGGGCTCTTTTGGCCAAAAGACCCCACAAGGGGCCAAATTCTGCCCCTTGGCTAGCCATGCAGCGGGTTTGGAGGGGCCCATGTGGCCAATCATCCCCGTTGGGGGGATTCTGCCCCCAACTAAGGTGCCTGTGACCAAAGGTCCTCTTTTGCAATCCACCTCTAGGACCCTTTTGGGTCTATCCACTTCTGGTGTTTGTTTGGGGTCTTCAACAGCCAAAGACCCGTTGGATACCCCCTTTTGGGCCTGTGCAAGCTTGTGCTCAGACACTGCAATGGCCCATTTGTGCCCCACAGCCCGATGGGATCAGTTGGAGAGGGGGTTCCCGGACTGCCTCTGCACTTATTGAATTATTGGACTGACCACAATCTTGTTTCTCCTACAATCCAGGTCTAACCCCTTCCTCACCATCCCGTGACGATTCATCACAATCACTCAATTTTTGTGGGTACGTTGGCTTGCGTACTTTGCCCCCTCATGGTCACCACAAGGCTGACATATTGGTGGTTACTTATATAATTATGCCTTTTGGTTCAGATTCATCAAGATATGTCTGACAAGTCCTCAAACCGCGCAATCCCAGCAGGCCACAGAGGACACATTCCCTCCGTCCCGCCCAATCTCGCGGGCCCCCCACCTCACCTTCCCTCTAGGCAAAGAGACCCCTCTTGGGCTCAAGCACATGATGGTCGGCAAGACACCCCTGTGTTCCAAGCTCACCCTGGTGCAATGTCTGGAAACCACTCCTGGCAGCCGATGTTGGCCCATTCCAGCCATCATCCAATGACCTCCTACTCTGGCCCCCCACAATATATGAGTTACTCTGCGCCGATGACCTACGTGGCACCAACATCCTACCAACACTCGGGCCCGGTATACACTGGCCAACCTCATTACCCCTACTCTGCGGCTCCACATTCACACTTCCCCCCCATGGGCCAACCTGGCCCCCCATACTATCACCATCCCTCAATGCCGATATACGCCCCCCTCCCTTCTCAACCGATGTTCTTTCCTGGTCACTCGGAGCCAACCCATTGGCCAATCCAGATAAATGGCCCCCATCCCCCAGTAAATTATGGGTCCCGCCCCTGTCCAGCCGCCACATCTGATCAGCCCAGCAACCCATCTGCCGCTCCCCAGCCATTGACTAGGGGGGTAAACTCCAATGGATCTGTCCAGACCTGCGAGCACCCAGATGGTCAACTGAAAATGGACTTACCCGATCCCGTGCCCAACGAACTCAAATTCGACACACACAATCCTGTGTCCAAAGAGGTGCCTCAGTTCCATGAGCCAAGGGAAAGCGGGGAACTTTCGGGTTGGGACTTGGGGATCGAAGACAGCACCGATTTCCACGAGCTGAAGTCGTCATTCCTACCGCACGGTCCAGCCGAAATTGAGCCCTTGCCTTTGGAAGGCACTGCTTTGTGGCTGTTGCCCCCCTCTGGGAGTACCCCGGTCGAGAGCACTTTGCCGGTTAAGCCTGATTTGGCTGTTGATCAACAGATTTCCATGCGGCTGGATTTTGAGATGGGGGATGGTTTGGTAGATGTGGAAGGTGGGTGTTTATTTGATGAACTTCTGTGCTCGTATCATGTGCAACTTGGTTTTGACTAATCTTATGTGGCCTGTTTTCAATAGGGGCCGGCCCTGTAAGAGATGAGGGTCCAGAGCCCCCACCATCAGGGATGGAACTCAATAATCCCAAAGTATCAAGCGCCGAAGGGGCCCCTGCTCAAGGGGTCACCGCCCAAGCTGAGGGGGTCCCTGCTGAAGGGGTTCCGCCCTGTGGTCGTGTCATGACTTCACTTGATGTGGACAATTTTGACTTTAGTGTGGGGAGTAAGTGGAAGAGGAACCTTAACTAATAATCTGTCAATGGGCTGATTTGGACCTCTGTGCCTTGAAGATCCGATGGATCCCCCCCCTCTATACAGATTCCACGAGTACAAGGACCTGAAGAGGTTTGCCGAGATGTGGGCACGGGCACATCAGTATAAACTCGTAACAGGCAGCTCAAAGACAGGGAAGAATGGGTACTTGAAATGCTCGTTGGCGGGAGAGGATAGAAACAAGCCCAATACGAATCTACAGCGGTTATCTCGGAACAAACGTATCGGATGTAGATTCAGGATCTCTGCGCACAAACCGACAAGCAAAGACCGCCCGAATGAACCTTGGGAAATTCGGATGGTGGAAGACTTGTCTCATAATCACGGCCCAATGGAGACTCAATATGAGGTGCTCAATCAACGGCTTGATCCAGCACTAGAAACGGAGGCGTTACGAATGGCATCCTTGGGGATGCAGCCTAGAGCGGTGGCAATGATGCTCTCCAAAGAGGCTGGCCGTCACGTCACATGTAGGACAATTTACAATGCGACTTCGGGGGATAAACGAGGGAAGAGGAAAGGTGACACCCCAATGCGGTACCTCCTTCGGTGCCTCAGCGAGTCCAACTGGATACATGACGAGGCGTATGACGACAATGGCCAACCCCTATACGTGTGGTTTGCTCATCCTGGCTCTGTGGCACTGGCGCGGACGTTCCATCATGTGGTCTTGATGGATTGTACTTACAAGACGAATGTCAACAACTACCCTCTGTTGCATGTGGTAGGGCAGTCAGCAACCAACAAGACCTTCTCGATTGGATTTTGCTTCATGAGGAACGAGTCTGAGGTTGCATATTCCTGGGTGTTGGACAAGTTGAGGTGAGTTGAATGGGTTTCTTGTTTGCACCAGTTCTCACATCAGACAGACAGATTGATTGTTGGTATTCTCAGGGACGTGTGGGCACCCGAAAGACCTCCCAAGGTGATTGTAACGGACCGGGAGAAGGCGTTACGAAATGCGATTGCCAACCACTTCCCTGAGGCGGAGAACAATGTGTGCTTATGGCACATTGATCAAAACATCCGTGCGGCTTGTTACGGGGCATTTGCGGCAGAGCCGGCCGAATACGAGGTGTTCAAGAAGAAGTGGCACACTGTGATGTATTCAAGGGATGAGGACGCTTATGAAGATGCCTGGGGCAAGCTTCAACTGTATCTAGCCGATCGCGCGTCGGTCCTGGATTATCTGATCAAAAACATCATCCCCGATCGCGAGTTGTTCATGAGACCTTGGACAGGGCAGACCGCGCATTTAGGCAATAACACAACCGCTCGGGGGGAGTCTGCGCACAGTTGGCTGAAGAAACACGTGAATTCGCACAAGAAGGACATGGCGAGTGTGTTTGAGAAAATTGCTGATACGGTGGACTACCAGGTGACAAGCATTGTGACTGAGATTTCAAACGAGAAGCAAAAGGGGAAATCCGGGATTCCAGAATGCCTTCGCCCACTCAACACTAAGGTATCAATTCATGCAATTGTCATGCTTGAGCAGCAGTGGGTCCTGTACCAGAAGAATCGGGACGCAGCGGCCAAGGGTGTGGACCTTGACGAGTGCACTGGGAGCCTGTGGGCCACGATGGGTGTTCCGTGCTGGCACATGTTGGTGGATATCTTGGACAACAAAGGTGTTGTTGAAACTACAGATATTCACGATCAGTGGAAATTGTATTATGACCCTGAGGACCCGGTGAGTCAATGTTTGCAATTGCTTGGATGCCGTAGCGCCGGGTGGGTTCTCATGTTTCTCCCTACCTGGACCAGAATGCGGAGCCTCCTTACGACTTCGACAAGGACTATGCAGCCATGAAAGAGGAGATTCTTGCAGAAGTGAGACCTCGAGACCTCCCAGGTCTCATGGCTAAGCTGCGCCAGGTGCGAACAAATACGGTTGTTGTGCCCCTGGGAGAGGCACCCATCGTACGAAACAACCGCAAGGGGGCCAAGAAAAAGAGGAAACGGGGTTATGTGTGAGCAGCTGAACGGGACGCTATCCATGCTGAGGTGGTCGAGGCCCAAGTCAACGAGGCTCAGGCAAAGAAACGGGCGTCAAGGGCTAACAAGGGGAAACGTAAGGCCAAGACTAAGGCTATGACGAAGTCCAATGATTCTTCAACAGATGCCACATCCGGTGATGAACCTGATCCGGTCACGAACAAGAGGAAGCTCCCTTTACGATCAACACAAGCAAGAAAGAAGGTCGGCTTGGCGGAGTCTAGCGATTCAGGGGGGTCATCGGACTCGGAAGAAGACATCGCCACAGGAGGGACATGCCGGTCAGATGGTGAGTGCACCTCCAGGCCTCTGACGGCAGCAGGGTCTCCAGGCAAGCATGGCGGCTCGAGGGAGGGCCGAAGCTCTGATTCACCGCGCCAAGAGGGAGTGCAAGCTAGCCCGGACGCTGCGGAATTGCCCTTGGGTCTGGAAGAAGTATTGGCTGAGGTACGCAGTTCTTTTGACCCTCGCATGTGAAACGTATCACCATTTAGCATGCTCATGTGTATCAATCTCCCTAGCTTGCCAAATCAGAGCATGTGGGTGGCCCAACGCCCTTGAAAACGGTACCTGACACACAGGCCATCCCTGATGGACAACCAAGACCCTCACAGGCAAGTGGCCCTCAGAAAACATCAGCCCAATGCAAGAGCAAAGGTTGACATGACAGCATGTCATATCCATTCCCACCCTCAGGCTGTCTCATCTCCTGGCCCCGTGTTGGCCCTGCCGCCCGCCCCAGTTGCCCAAGTTGCCAGGCCGCTCACACGAGCCACTCGATCACATGGGCCCCAGTTCCGCACATGGCCTGAAGAGGGTACAT